GGGTATGTACGCGTGTGTTTTCTTTTTTGACTGGTGTATGCATGTGCACTTTTGTGCACGTGTGTGACGGGGGCGTTCATTAAGTTACCTTCTATGATTATGAATATGTTGCATAATTACAACAGGTATAGCCTGGTTCACGTTACCTACTCGGGGAACTGAACATATGCCCCCTGATCAAATAGCAACGACGATGACAACGAATACTTGGCCCCTTTGTTATAATAGTATCTCCGTCGGTTGATGTAGCGTATCTAAATCTTGCTCACGTCAAAGCATTATGCGTTTATTCATGTTCAAAGTGTGAGAATGAATTCTGTTGTTTTAATGTCTCGCCCGTTTGCCTCATTGTCCAACGCAGCCAAATTCACAGAAGCGCAATGTTTTACATTTTTATGCATTTTTAATGTTCGTGGGCGTGTCCTTTCCGGCCCAGTAGCATAGGCGTTAAGCAAAGTGCGTATTCAGAATAATCGAGTCACCTATGAGGCGAGAAATTGACATTTGTTTCTCAAAAAACGCAACCATTTGTGTGCGCGTGTGCGTGTTCAAGTGCGTACGTATATGTGTATTTAGGTCAAACACAAAAGAAGAACTAGGTCTGTTTTCCTCCATCCTCTTTGGCAGCGCATCGGGGGCGGAAAACAAAATGAAACTAGGCATTAATTATGGTGATTGGGTCTAGCTGCACATCGCCATCTTTGTTCGCCATATGAATGACTGTCCGTGAAGTTCAACTGCTAAAGTATCTCTCCGACAGAGACGTTAAAGTTTCATGCTTTCCCAACAGATGAATGCTGTCTTCAGTGGCCCTGGAACCTTGGCTCTAGGTCAGTGGACCTCCCCACCCCACACATATTCTAGACAGATCCTAATGTCCCCATTCCCCCGCCCGCCGCATGTTTATAAGCTCTCTTTAAAATTTTTTTTTTTTTTTGGTTACCTTTCCTACCGTTTATAAGTTCTCTTTAAAAAAAAATGTTTTGGTTACCTTTCCTACTATTTCAAATATAGTATTAGATTTATTGACCACTGAGCATATTTCGTTGTTATTTTACTCCTAGTATGATCATTATGTCGGCTCTGTGGCTAAGTCGATGCGAACGCTTCGTAATGCCGGGATGCCCGGTTCGATCCCAGCTGCGGGCCATGCGCTTTGCGTTGGTTTCGAGAGTAGTATCGAGAAAGCCGACCGTCCAGTAGCAATGGCAAACTACTGGACGTAAATTTGCTTAGAAAAAGACAACAGCCAGGGGCTGTTGGGGTTGGTTCTGCAACGTCCTGTAAAGGATACGCAACTAACCTGATCATTATTATTTTGAACTTCAACAAGTCTTCCACCTCTGGAACCCTCTTCCGCCTACAGTATGGTACCATTTTAAAAAAAACGACCTCGTTCAGCCTGTTGTTGGCAGCGAGCCGTCAACAGTCTCCGGATATATTTGTGGTCTGGTTTATTTGCGCCACTTTAATGGCTAAGAATAAAGTACTTTATTCTTAGCCATTAAAGTGGCGCAAATAAACCATGTGCGCTCACTTTCTGGATTAATATTCCTTTTCTCGGAGACAGACGCCTCCTTTTACCTGCTGATGTATTATCCTCGTGGGTCATCCTCCATCCGGTTTCTACTCTTTATTATTTTGCCCTTGTGTCCACCACTGTGTCCCCGAATCTGTTTGCTTCTATTTTGGCCAGGCGTATCTCGTATGAGACAGAACTAGTTCGCACCTATTCTCTACAGAACTTATTTTCGGACCACCAATTATAGTTTTGAGTATTTTACATTGCTCTTCATCTTTCAGTAATATCCCCTGGTCTCTGGGTAGCGAGATCGGACGTCCGTGTGTATTGTTGCGCAAGTAAAAAAAAAAAAAATCCATTGGCAGCTGGTAAATGAAGAGAGTAGCCTAAAGGCGCTCACCGGGCTACATTTGGAGTTAAAAATCTACCCAACGTATTTCAGGATCCTCGTGTACTGCGTGAGTTGCTTCAAACTCAAGCGTGAGTTTTTTCATAAGAATTTTCTTTTTCTCAAGAATTTTTATGGAGATCCCTGGGGATCGTCCCCAGAGTTACGGAGTCATGCTCTGTGCTGCGCTCTCAGCATGCTGATCCGTAAACTAAATCCTAGTAAAAGTGTAAAGGGGTCATGAACTCCCTAGCTGGGATTTAAACCCAGAAGTGTTGCTGTGTGTCTGGGCGCCTTGACAGCCTGGCCAGAGAAGATGATCATAAATGCACTGTCACCCAACAACAACATGTGCCGTGCCGATTATCATAAGCGGCCATGATTCGCAAGCATCGGATGCTGTCTGTGTTCTTGTTTCGATTATGCTGGCTGCTTAGATATCTCTTTGTCTTGTCCATGCTAAAATAATACATCTGTAGATTAAATATATCTGTAATTACAAAATGAGCTATCGCCAAACAGCACAGGAATCATTGCCGGAGCTAAGGAGTACGTGCTCTGCGTTTGTTATCACTTTGACAACACCAGAATTAGAGTTCAGCGCTGGCTGCTGAAAATAGAGACTGTGCACTTAATGGAATGTCCCGAGCGTTGTGATGTCGATTCTTAACTCTGATATCTCAGAAACAAGTAGGTAAAGTACAGGACTCTTTTCCACGGCTACAGGCACATTGGGCATATAGGGCTAGACTTAAATTTTATAGACCAAACGTCAATTGACAGGTGATGAGTGGTCAGCATCACATTGGCCGCCTTTACTTCCCAGGACTGTACCTGGTACCCACTCAATGCTGGGTCGACCTGGGAGCTAAGGTCATGTTTGAAAAAAGACCGGCTCCCAACAGGACCCGAACCCATGGCTTTCCGCTAGACCACGGAGGCTCCGTCTTAAAAAACAAGAGTATTTGTATAATAACTTTGAACATATCTGTGTAGCTAACAACGGTAAGGTTTTCATTCCTCTTTGAGTCCCAAGTTGAAAGCTTCTTAATCGCATTATAATCTGCAAATTTGTTATTTTAACTAACAAATGTTTGAGTCTGCAGCAAAAAAAAAAAAAAAAAATTAAATAACGATACAGAACTGACCCGCCAGCTAAACAGACTCACAGAATATAATCAAATTGTTCTCCAGTGCATCCCTGCTCACTGCGGCATACCAGGAAATGAGTTAGCAGACAGACTTGCAAAAAATGGAACAAAGGAGAAACAACACGCCCATTCATTGTCATTAACATAAATCAGAACACTTATCAATGGAAAATACAAAGAATTGTGGATAGCACTAACTAACAGTAAACATCCACAAGACCCAATCAGCAGACTCAACACAAAGCAACATACAACAATATTCCGTCTACAAACAGGACACTGCAGGCTCAACTACCACATGTGTGTTTGTCAGATAGGACCACAAACACCTGAGCACATTCTGCAGAACTGCCCAATCTACATACACCTTCGAAAAGATACGTGGCCTCAAGAGCAAAATGCACAGAGCAAGCTATGGGAAACCATGAAAGACCTGCTACTGATATGTGAGTTCATAGAGGCAACCCATCTGATGGTCTGATCTGAGCATACGAAACCAAAGGCAAAGAAGAAGAAATAACGATACTATGAGAAAAAAAATATGTAACGCAACATTTGAGGCAGATAAGTTAACGAAGAAGATAGAAGGTTGGGAATATAATATAATGAAACTGAGCTAAAGAAATGCATGGCGAGTTGCTTGGGGTTTGAGGGAGAGAGCTGATTGCTGGATCATATGTACTGGGGTCACCGTGGTGAAGTGGTCAAGCCATTTGCCTCGTGCCCTAAAGTTTGTGGGTTCATTTCACAGGGGTGTCGTTCAGTTCACGAATGCAGTTTTTATGGATATCCCTGTGAATCATCACCAGAGCTATGGAGGCTGTGCTTGTGCAACACTCTTGGCAAGCAGATATTTATTCTGCAGAGAGAGACAGCTGTATGGGATAAAAACCTGGTGCAATAAAGTTGACCCTCTTACCTTTACCTTTGGATCATACGCATAGATAAATATGGGAACAATTGTATAGTTAACTATGGAAACGTTTGTATAATTGACAGTGGAAACATTAACAACGCGAACATGTTGGCGTCAGTGGCTTAAGCGTTCAAACGAGTGTCGGGGTGCCGGGTTTGATCCCAGTTGCCGATGGTTTGTCTTGCTGGAGTTGGTTCTAACTTTAACGAGAACATGTGTACAGTTAAATATGGAAACATTTACATAGTTAATAGGGGAAAATGTGCATAAGTAACCTCTAGACATTTCATATAAGAGTTGTGGAATCAAAGGTATAATACGCTTTGAGGATATTGGACATGACATTCGCATGTTTAAGGCCTTTCCGTTCAGCAACATTCTGTTTCCAGGTCTTTCTTGGTCTGTCTTTTTTTCTCTACAGTGCCCTGTAGTGTCATTCTGAAAGGACAGTAGATCTTGTTACATATCGCAGAAAAGGACCCCAGAAATGTTAGAGACACTGAAAAGTATTTTATACAAAGCCCACAGAAAAGCCCATTTGAGAGATTTCATTCTGCCCTGATGCCACGAGACATTCCAGGAGTAGAGAAAAGAAGAAGACACTGCTGTTAAAAGAGGTTCATAGTGGCCAATGTGTTGAGTGATGATACTTCATCAGTCAATAAACATGGCAGGATCAGAGACAGCCCATAATGATCATAAACATTCTCACATTCAAAGCTAGACCAAATCAAATGTGTGGAGTTTAAAATATCTGCCATGTTGCTTTAATGGAAACATTCCCATGATTGAAACCACCATTACCGTAGTAGCCAATCAAATCAAATGGAAAAAATATAACATTAGAACAAATATAAAACATTTCAGTCTTTCATATCTGTTGTCTCAGTTCACTTCTGCTGTCTCAGTTCACTTCTGCTGTCTCAGTTCACTTTTGCTGTCTCAGTTCACTTCTGCTGTCTCAGTTCACTTTTGCTGTCTCAGTTCACTTCTGCTGTCTCAGTTCACTTCTGCTGTCTCAGTTCACTTCTGCTTAGCTTTCTTTTCACTGGCTTCTCTTCGTCTCTGCGTCATAGGATTACGAGGGTCATGAATCTCATACCGGTCTGAGTCAGTGACATTTGGATCCAGCACTTTCTTTTTGTTGTCTGCCTCGAACTGCAGCTTGTGCCGCATCCTGGAACCAGAAACATGATTAAATATATATGAATACATTCAGGTGCATGACCACAGTGAATTGTTGGCATTAGCTGGCAACACAAGATGACAAATACTGAAGCATTGTGAAAAGAAGACGTCACAATAGTTCTCCCAGCGCTCAGCTTTCCAAAGTTCAGATGGTTAGGCTACACCTGGAGGATGCTAGAGTCCCTACGGATATCCTCTACAGTAAATTAAAGATGGGTAGAAGACACATTCGCCAGCCTCTGCTACGACTTAGAGCAAGTGGAAAATGAATGATGCATAAGTGGATTCAGCCACTGATTGCATTGCACAAAGGGGGAAAATTAGGAAGGGAATAAAGACAAAGGAGAAATTGACTGCAGAAAGGTTCAGAGCTGAGGTGTCTGTTAAATCTCATGCTCTTGTGGAAGATTTTTTCATAACTTGAAGTGGTCTAGTTAGTCGCCTGCGCCATCACCGCAGGCTGCGACTCTCGTTGATAGGTTGAGATAGGTTAAGTTACGCTGGTCCGAGAAGACTGGTTTTCAGTCTTCCAGGCTAAGTTTCAAAGCTAGGATCAGACATAAAGGAAACTAAATGAATCACAATGCTGCCCTTATCACTCCTCATCGTCCACCTCAATGAAAAATGCTGGCTGTTGCTGTTGGCTTGGTGTCTGATACATGGCTCATTGGGTCACAGTTAAGCCAGACTGATATTACAGGGAAAAAAGCCACAATGAGGTGACCAAAGATGCTGCTCACTGACATTCAGGAATTTAAATATAGGAAACCCTCACAGCTTTCTTCTTCTGCCCTTCAGCCCCAGATGGAGCATAGGCTGTCAACCAATTTGTACCAAGTTTTTCAATTCTTTTAACTGTTTACAGCTCACTCCATGTCTTGCACACCTTATTCACCTCTGTCTCTAACTCTTTCCTCTGGTCTCATTTTGCATGTTTGACCCTGTTGGTTCCAGTGAAAACACAGCCTAATTATACTATTTCCCAATTATCTCACTGGTGTCCTATCCAGCACCAACATCTTTTCTTTACTTCCTACCTGCCTGACGGCTATACTCTAAAAAAAACATATCTAACCCATTGAGCAACTATCTCACTACCCGAAACAGGACACCATCATAAAGTGTTACAGGGTGGCCCATTCTCCAAAACTTAGAGATGCGGTTGGGACTACACTTTGATCTCAGCCAAAAGGCAGAGAAATGATAAGTTTGAGATTTCCCTTTATAAACTGTGAGACCATAATGGTCTTTCCTATATTTTATCTCCAGTACTCTTAAAGACTATTCTTCCCTCCATTCATAAATTTATGTAAATATCCACCCACCTACCCACCCACACATACACTCGCACGTCCATGCGCACACAAAATACATATATAATTCACTTATCCATCCCTACTTGCTTACCTGCGTGCACATACACATACACACAAACATATATACACACATGCACACACAATTATTACAATATTTTCACACAGATTCATAAGCTGACCATATGACAGGATCTAAACCTAACTGCTTCAGTTTTTTCTTCTCCAATTTACACAAAATAAAACAGCTAACTTCACTATAATCTACTTTGGCAACATCTCTGAAAAAACTGGCGCAATATCTTCCCTTTCTATTTACCAACTAAGTTAACAATTTAAGATAACTAATACGAAAATAACAATGTGACAATAAATTATTGAAACAAAATTATAATCATCCCAAACTCACCAAGACATATCACTGGCATCTTCCTCCACATCATCATCATTTTTGTCTTCTGTTTCTGAATCGGAATATTCCACTGCCACGTGTTTAACGGAAGACAGTTTCGACTGAAATTTTTCCAAAATGGCCAGTGTCTGAGCTTCTCTGGTCAGCCCTTTCTTATTCTGCTGCTTCTTTAGAGTCTTATATTTCTGTCGTTCCAATTTGAAAGCCTCGAGAAAATCAGGTTCGCCGTCTGCTGAAAGAAAATTATTATTTGAAAAATTAAAAATTACCAATCATTTTTTAGGATAAAGAAAGACACATTATTGCAGCGATTTTTCACAGCTGGTCTAAGCGCCGTTTTTTCTGTTTTGTTCACCTGAGGACATAAATTGCACTGTGCCTGTTTACAGTACACCCACAATTGTTATGCCTTTCAGCCGACAAACAGAACGTCTTCAGGCATTTTTGTCCAGGTTAGTCTTACAAGTTATCTTCTTCTTCTTCTTTGTGTTCACGGGCTGTAAACTCCAGCAGAATGATCTGGTTGTTTGTCCACTTCTGGACTTTAGTCTTGTTCCAAAACTTCAGTTTTGCATGTACATCTGTTTTACAGATCTGCCTTATTTGTAAGCAGGCTTCTGGTTCCTCGCCTTGCAGGCAGATGCACCCCCACTTCAGAGGAAACATTTCTAATTAGTTGCCTCCTAGGACATGCTTGTTAAGGGAACCGTGGGTCTATTATTTGTTCTCCCTCAAAATGTGGCACCTGAACCCATACAGGTCCTGGGTAACCAGAGAGTCTGGCCGGTTCACTACACTCAGAGGGTCTGGCCGGCTCACTATACTCAGAGAGTCTGGCCGGCTCACTACACTCAGAGAGTCTGGCCGGCTCACTACACTCAGAGGGTCTGGCCGGCTCACTACACTCAGAGGAAAGGCAAGACAGACATATAACCAGATTGTGACCGGTACCATCAGTATTGGAACTCTGCGCTGGCTGCTGAAGATGAGGACGGAGTATGCATGGGAATGCCCTGAGTGCTGTGATGTCAATTCTTGACTCAACTCAACCCTCCCCCAAAATGGGGTACTGGAACCCACACAAGACCTGTGATCTAAATGTTATACTTCATGTTATTTCTTTCAGAAATAAAATAATTTCCTGCTGACTTGCTAGCCAGTTGCAGGTTAAGGAAAAACTGAACAAGATGAGTTCATCCAATTAGGCAAGCCAAAGCCCTGTTGGCCCATCACCTTTTGGCCACTGTTTACAAGTCTATGCATCTCAAAGGTGGTGCTGACTTGTGTGTTCTGCAGGTCTTCAACAGGCTACTGATTTTCACTGTCTCTTCTTTAAAAAAGAGACCACCAGTCAATGCCAACCAAGCTGGCTGCAATGTGAGGTAAGTACTCATCTAGCAGACACACTGTTACCCCCAGCAATGATGTACAGACCCAAGGGGGTGGCAAAATATACAATTAAAGCCTGGGAAGTGAGGAATCAACCGTCTGCATACAAATAAGTCAGATCTATAGAACAGAGGTAGGTAGGTAGGTGGTTGTACCCCACCAGGACATCACACAGGCGATAAACCTCTGGTGACACAGATGAGGATCACCCGTGGAGAGGTCCCAGAAACCCTTTCAGCAGTTTGGTCATATGTATGGCTAGGCCATATCTATGGAGCAGAAGCCAGGGTCGGGCTTCAAATAACAAAAAATTGCATCCCACATGGGGATGACTGCACACTGTATGATTCAGACATGCACAGAAACTCAAGTTCTGAAACAAGACAAGTCTAAAAGTGAACAAACAAATAAACTTTTTGAACGAGTTTGCAGCTGGTGAACGTTAAGAAGAAGAAAAAGAAAAGATATGAATGCTACTTATTTAACCATAGTGATCTACAAAGACCCCAGGTCTGACCAGTTGACATTCCCGGAGAAACTAAACTGTATGCATCTGTGGATGACATGCATGACACCAAACCTTTATGGAGACCTGTGGTCTTCTCTTCTCAAAATCCACTCAAGTTAGGTGTGTCCCTTTACAGGACGTTGCAGAACTAACCCATATGTTGGTTGTTGTGGTTTTTCTAGGCACATTTTATGTTCAGTAGTTTGCCATTGCTCTCCAAACTGTCAGCTATGGTACCAATGTCGAAACCAACACAAGACCAACTGTCCGCAGCTGGGATCAAACCCCGCACTCCCGCATTAACAGGGAGAATAAAAAGAAGAAGAAAAATCCCTGTGAAAACTCCCAAAACTTCTGACTGCCAAACAGATTAGATAAAGATCCCCGTGTGGGTCCTGGGGCCCCATCTGGGGAGGGAAAGGGGGGGGGGGGGGTTGGTGGGAACAGACTCACTGCCTCCCTAACAAGCATGTCATCAGAGTCGGAGTGCATCTGCAAGGAACCAACAGTGTGCATACAAAGAAGCCAGATTGGTAAAACAGATGTGCATGCAACATTCAGATTCTGGAATAAGACTGAACTATAGAGTTGGATGAACAGCCAGAGCTGTCCGCCAAATTTACAGCTGGTGAACACGAAACAGAATATTAGGTAAAGACCAACAAGTACTTCTGCATGCTCAAAGCACATTTTAAAAAACATCAACGTTACAGATTTCAAAATACATACTTGGTGGCAACTGAAAGCTTTCTTTTTCTTCTTTGTACATCCTTTAGAAGGTGGTTGGCACACTGTTGTGGTTTACAGCTAGGCTGCAATATCTGCTCCTTTCGGCCCAACAAATGCTTGTTCAGGGGTAGTGAGTATATTATTAGCCCTCTGTCCACCCTCCCACTCCCCCCTCATCCCCCAATGGGTCTCCAGAACTTATATTGAGAACAACACTTTCTGAAACCAAATGTGAATTTAAACTAGCAGAACACAGTGAAGACAATTTAAAGTAATTTCAAACGTAGTAAATTTCTGCTGTGAAGAATAATTTGTTTATTGTCGGCAATTTTTCTTGCTTGAACTCATAGCAGCATGAGAGGAGTTTCTGATAAGAAAAACCATTTCTTGGGTCCCCGATGAGTTCTCCTTATCAGGTCAGCACTAAATTTTGCAAATTGCAGACTGCCAAATAGTTAAACAACAAACACAGGGTACCTTTTTTCTCTTCTTTAACTGGATTCTCAATGTTCTCACTCTTTTGATCCTCAGCTGCTGGTTCTTTATTCTTGGCACTTGCTCGTTTCTTCGATTCTTTGATTTCCTTCTGAAGTCTTTTCACCTCTTTCTTGATATCTTCACTAGAATACATCAATATTCACAATTTTCACATTTATGATTAGAAAAACGGGTCAACTAGTTGCACATTTAGAATGATGAGAATGATTGTCTCGCTATTAAAAAAAAAGAAAACTTTAATGAATAATACACACTGCTTCTCAGTGTGATGTGGTAGTGCTATTGGTAGCTTAAGCTTAGGGAATTTGTAAAAAAATTGAGTATAGGACCCTTTCCATACCAGCAGCGCACTGGACATATATGGTGCTCAATAACTGTTTAGTCCAAATGGCTCTCCTTTGGCAATAAAGTCAGCAATAAGTTGTCTGTCATTACGACTCAGAACACTTTCTGGTATCCATTTTAGACTGGGCAGGCCATGGAACCAAGTCAATTAAAATAATCTATTTAAAGAGGGATTAAAATAAATGACAATCGGGCCAGATTTCTTTAGTCCACTCTGATTAAATGTAAGAAGTACAATCACACATAACAATCTGATAAGTATACATATACACACACACATATTTAGTAACCAATCACACATGACATGCTGATACATTCAATAAGAGTAACGAGTCAAACAAAACATGTGGAAATAACCAATCAAACAAAACTCGTAAATATAACCAATCAAACAGAACAAGATATAACCAATCAAACAAAACATGTGGAAATAACCAATCAAACAGAACAAGATATAACCAATCAACAGAACAAGATATAACCAATCAATCAAAACAAGTAGATATAACCAATCAAACAAAACATGTAGATATAACCAATCACACAGAACAAGATATAACCAATCAAACAAAACATGTGGAAATAACCAATCAAACAGAACAAGATATAACCAATCAACAGAACAAGATATAACCAATCAAACAAAACAAGTAGATATAACCAATCAATCAAAACAAGTAGATATAACCAATCAAACAAAACATGTAGATATAACCAATCACACAGAACAAGATATAACCAATCAAACAAAACACATAGATATAACCAATCAAACAAAACAAGTAGATATAACCAATCAAACAAAACAAGTAGATATAACCAATCAAACAAAACACGTAGATATAACCAATCAAACAAAACATCTAGATATAACCAATCAAACAAAACATGTAGATATAACCAATCAAACAAAACATCTAGATATAACCAATCAAACAAAACATCTAGATATAACCAATCAAACAAAACATCTAGATATAACCAATCAAACAAAACATCTAGATATAACCAATCAAACAAAACATCTAGATATAACCAATCAAACAAAACATGTAGATATAACCAATCAAACAAAACAAGTAGATATAACCAATCAAACAAAACATGTAGATATAAACAATCCAACAAAACACGTAGATATAATCAATCACACAGAACAAGATATTACCAATCAAACAAAACACATAGATATAACCAATCAAACAAAACAAGTAGATATAACCAATCAAACAAAATACGTAGATATAACCAAACACAGAAAAAGATATAACCAATCAAACAAAACACATAGATATAACCAATCAAACAAAACAAGTAGATATAACCAATCAAACAAAACAAGTAGATATAACCAATCAAACAAAACAAGTAGATATAACCAATCAAACAAAACAAGTAGATATAACCAATCAAACAAAACACGCAGATATAACCAATCACACAGAACAAGATATAACCAATCAAACAAAACAAGTACATATAACCAATCAAACAAAACACATAGATATAACCAATCAAACAAAACACGTAGATATAACCAATCAAACAGAACAAGATATAACCAATCAAACAAAACAAGTAGATATAACCAATCAAACAAAACACATAGATATAACCAATCAAACAAAACATCCAGATATAACCAATCAAACAAAACACGTAGATATAACCAATCACACAGAACAAGATATAACCAATCAAACAAAACATCCAGATATAACCAATCAATCAAAACAAGTAGATATAACCAATCAAACAAAACATGTAGATATAACCAATCACACAGAACAAGATATAACCAATCAAACAAAACACATAGATATAACCAATCAAACAAAACAAGTAGATATAACCAATCAAACAAAACAAGTAGATATAACCAATCAAACAAAACACGTAGATATAACCAATCAAACAAAACATCTAGATATAACCAATCAAACAAAACATGTAGATATAACCAATCAAACAAAACATCTAGATATAACCAATCAAACAAAACATCTAGATATAACCAATCAAACAAAACATCTAGATATAACCAATCAAACAAAACATCTAGATATAACCAATCAAACAAAACATCTAGATATAACCAATCAAACAAAACATGTAGATATAACCAATCAAACAAAACAAGTAGATATAACCAATCAAACAAAACATGTAGATATAAACAATCCAACAAAAAACGTAGATATAATCAATCACACAGAACAAGATATTACCAATCAAACAAAACACATAGATATAACCAATCAAACAAAACAAGTAGATATAACCAATCAAACAAAATACGTAGATATAACCAAACACAGAAAAAGATATAACCAATCAAACAAAACACATAGATATAACCAATCAAACAAAACAAGTAGATATAACCAATCAAACAAAACAAGTAGATATAACCAATCAAACAAAACAAGTAGATATAACCAATCAAACAAAACACGCAGATATAACCAATCACACAGAACAAGATATAACCAATCAAACAAAACAAGTAGATATAACCAATCAAACAAAACACATAGATATAACCAATCAAACAAAACACGTAGATATAACCAATCAAACAGAACAAGATATAACCAATCAAACAAAACAAGTAGATATAACCAATCAAACAAAACACATAGATATAACCAATCAAACAAAACATCCAGATATAACCAATCAAACAAAACACGTAGATATAACCAATCACACAGAACAAGATATAACCAATCAAACAAAACATCCAGATATAACCAATCAAACAAAACACGTAGATATAACCAATCAAACAGAACAAGATATAACCAATCAAACAAAACAAGTAGATATAACCAATCAAACAAAACACATAGATATAACCAATCAAACAAAACATCCAGATATAACCAATCAAACAAAACACGTAGATATAACCAATCACACAGAACAAGATATAACCAATCAAACAAAACACGCAGATATAACCAATCAAACAAAACACGCAGATATAACCAATAACACAGAACAAGATATAACCAATCAAACAAAACAAGTAGATATAACCAATCAAACAAAACACATAGATATAACCAATCAAACAAAACATCCAGATATAACCAATCAAACAAAACACGTAGATATAACCAATCAAACAAAACACGTAGATAAGTACAAAAAAAAAGAGTGGCCAATCAAAAGTAACATGTTGATGGATACACATAAAGACTAACCAATCGCACATGACATGGTGAAATCAAATAAGTAATGATGTTTCTACAACTTTAGACAGATTGAGTATATTGTGCTAGCTCCATATTTTTTATAGTTTTTATAGGTTAACCCCTTCACCTCGTAAGAATCTTAAATAAAATAATTTTCTTCTTCTTCAAATTTCGTTTAAAAATACGCATCAGAAAAATGGTCTGAAACTCAGCCCCCCAAAAAACTGAAAGGAAAGAAGAATCAGAACAATTCTGGAGTTTTGGTCATTTTTTTGTGTTAATATCCATGGGGTCGAGCCCCTAGACCCAGAGAAGACAGTTAAGTGTGAAATTATTTGCTTCTTTGATTACGTCATGTCACTTTAAAAAAATGAACAAATTCGTCACTAAATGTCTAAATTTGGGAAAAGGTAAATTTCTACGTAAGGGAAATAATCACGAAACATAAGCAGAGCCAAGAGTTACCTGGTTTTCCCCCACTGACCACTTAAAAGTGGTTTTAGTCACTTTGTTACAGACAGCAATGTGATGTAATAATGAAATAATATGACATCAGTGTGATTTTATCAAGTCTCACCCCATATAATCTATAACAAATGGAGGAAAAAGGGGCCCGAGGGAAATCACATCAACCAAAACCTGTAAAAGCCAGAAAAAACTGCCTTTTCTGGGCAAGAGGGTTGTTATTATTAAGCTGGCCACACTTTACAAGAAATTTCCTGGTACCACTGTAGGCTCGGACAACCCCACAAACCAGCTAAATTCTAAAAACCTTCCTCATTAAGGATTCAAGCCTCTAACCTCTGGGCTGGTAGGCCTCAATGGTGTAGCGGTCCAGATGCTAAACTGAGGATCAGAAAGGCTATGAAGCTGGGTCCTGACAGAGTCGGTCTTTGAAAAATAAAAATGACCTTGGCTTTGACAACGCTATCAAGAGCTGACAGTTGAGGAAGCAGTGGCAAACTACTGAACATAAAACTAACCTACTGAAATCACAAACAGCCAAATGCTAGGATTCGTTCTGCAACATCCTGTAAAGGATATGCAAGTAAGTAATATATACAGGACAGCAGCCTCAAACCATGGAAGAACCAGTTGAGGAGATGAGCTAAGAATCAATATAACAGCACTAGGGACACTCCCATAAGAGTTCAGTCCCTACCCTCAGCAGCCCAGTTCTGATGCTGATGGTAACAGTCTGACTGCATGTCTGTCTGACCCTTTTGCTGAAATCACCTGGCCACTCCTCAGCTTAGACCGTAATGACCCATTTGTGCTTCCACACTGTTCACACCCTCCCACAGAGCCTTGACTACATCTAGCTTGTCATGATTAAATTTACCATCATGTGATACAGAACCAGCAAGTATGTCTGCCTTTTCCTTTACCATCATACCTGCATTCTCTTTAAAACCAGTAAAACAGAGTAACAATTTCTGGATGGAGCTATTAAACAGTGTACAAGATGGAGAAACTAGACAAGCACCTTTTGCTCTTTTTCACTTCGTCTACAGCTGGTTCCTCTGGAATCTCCTGCTTAGGCAATGCCACTGGTGGGTCTTCCTTCTTCAGCTTCTTCCGCACTTCTTCCGTGGTCACATCAGAGGTGCCAGACTCCACATCATCCTAAAAACCAAAACTTTTGGGTGAACAGATTTCTATACATTTTTTTTATATACATGTTGGCAACAAAGCAAACTTGCAAAAAAGATGAACAAATCCATCACCCAAGCCACCCAAGGCAAATACAGAAAACTAAAACACTGGGCTACAACCTGGTTTCAGAGAGATGACAAAAGAACGAACGAACAAACTTTATTTTCAAAGGGTTACAAATTGGGCATGCAGGCCCGTCTGACATTCGGCCCTTCTAAGAACTTATTTTTCAGAGTACCAATGTCTATTATCAATAATGCATGTTATGAATATAATAAAGAAATATGCATATAGAATAATGCATACACACATCACATGTACACAATCTTACACACTCACACACACGTATATATACTCACATACTTACATTCTCATACATGTACATTCATATACAGACATACCTAATACATACATACACGCATCTACATACATACACAAACAGACAAGACACACACATACACATATTGACATACATGCACACACACATTCATTCCATACATACACACCTACACATGCATACACGCACATACAATCACATGTACAGACACCCACATACGTCCACAACCACACATTTACACTCACATGCATACATACATACACATACATGCATACATACATCTATACATACACCTACATCTTTACACACATACATACATACATACATCTTTACACACACACACACACACACACACACACACATACATACATACATACATACATACATACATACATACATACATACATACATACATACATACATACATACATACATACTTGCATACATACCTAAATACATACACCCACATACTTACACTCACATACATGTATACATACATACATACATACATACATACATACATACATACATACATACATACATACATACATACATACATACATACATACATACATACATACATACATACATACATACATAAACACACATACATACATACATCTATACATACTCCTACATCTTTACACACAAACATGCATACATACTTGCATACATACCTAAATACACATACATACGCCCACATACTTACACTGCTACCATTGCGTACATACATCTACAAACATGCATACATACACACATACATGCATACATACGCCCACATACATTACATACATACACACATACATACATACATACTTGCATACACCCACATACTTACACTCACATACATACATACACACATCTATACATACACCTACATCTTTACATACTTGCATACATACCTAAATACCCACACATGCAACCACATACTTACACTGCTACAATTGCATACATACATCCACAAACATGCATACATACACACATACATGCTCACATACACACATAGACGCTCACATACACCCACATACATGCCCACACATTACATACATACATACATACACACATATATACAACCACCCATACAGATACCCACATACATACACACATCTTTACATACACCTATATCTTTACACATACCTAAATACAACCACCCATACAGATACCCACATACATACACACATCTATACATACACCTACATCTTTACACACAGACATACATACTTGCATACATACGCATGCACCCACATCTATACATACACCTACATCTTTACATACATGCAAAGAAGAAGAAGACAGCAAAGTTCAGTCAGCAGGAATTTTGATTACCAGAGAAAGCTCAAATAAATAAATTATAATATACATTGGCAAAGCAGCAGCAGCTTTTAAAAGTCTGAACAAAACCTTGGAACTGTAATAATGTTTAGTAATTAGTAATAAGGTTGGCTACCTCATCCTGGAAACGACAATAGCCACAAAAGCCAACCAATCATAGAAAAGTCAAAAAAGAGACACAAGAAAATCCCAGCCATCCAAGATGAAGTAGAAGAACTATGACAGGGTGTGGAGAAAGCGACATACCTGTAAAAAAGGATTCTTTACTGGTTTTTCTTTTACTTCTACTATAACAGTTCCTGTTGTTACAACCAGCAGACTCACAATGGAGACCATGGCTGCAACAAGAGCACTGACACGGCTAAGTATCTCCCACAACTTGATGTTACATATTCACTCATCATTCATGTCCATGTCATGTTTGGATTGAATAATCCTCGTGATAGTAAACACCATTGTGCCTTTTTTGATTAGACTTGCTTTTATTATCACTTCTCTGAATGCTAGCTACATTCACTATGTTTTCATCGTCTTTAATCAGTTTATTAAAAGGCTTTCCATTCTCAAATTGCTTGAAAATTAGAATAGGTTTGTTCCTTCTTTGTCTTCTTTATGTTCACCATCTGTAAACTTCGGCAGAAAGTTCTGGCTACTCACCCACTTCTGGACTCTAGTCTTGTTCTAGAATTTGAGTTGTGCATGCACATACATTTTACAGATCTGGCTTATTTATGTGCAGACTGTTGGTTCCTGTCCTCTCAGGCTGATGCACTTTAACTTTGAAGGAAACCCCTAATTTGTCGACTCTTATGACATGCTTGTTAGGGAGGCAGTTGGTCTATTCTTGTTTTTCTCATCCATAATAGGGCCCTGGATCCCATACGGGGAAAGTAGGTTAAATAATACTTTTACTATTCTCCTAGTAGCAAGTTTATTAAAATGTTAGCATCCAAAGGGGCTCTCTAACGGGGCACAGCTGTTACCCTGTCTGGCCCTCATCAAACACAATTAAGTAGTTGGGTTCTGTTCGCACCCTTCCCCCCCCCCCCCCCCCCCAGTATTTAGGAGGTTCGGATATAAAAATATTTACTAAAAATAGCCCTAGGGGGTGGGGTCACTGTGAATAAAGCTACCTTTTACCTTTTATATCTGTTCTGATATCAAAATGTGTCCAGTACCTTTGCTTTAGAATTCCAATATAGTCACAGGGTCATCGTATGAGTCACCTGATACACTGTTTTAGGCAGAGGGGAGTGTACTCCATTGAATACCCCACCCCCTTCGTGTGTATTACTTCCTTAACAAACTTTAAAAGACAAAAATAATTCAAATGTAGATACAAAGACAGACATGTGACAGTTTGACATCATGGCATGGAGGATCATCTGTATCAGAGTTGACTGAAAGTACACGAGACAGAAGGCTGTGGATGGGCATGACTACCAACCCCACACGGCATGGACTTCAAGAAGAAGATACAAAGAAAAATTTCATTTATTAGTGAAATATTTTTTTTAAAGGATCACCCCCACATGAATTGCCGTAGACTCCAGCCTTTTTAAAAGCATTTCTGAGGCAAAGGGGTTCAACCTGTGGATTTAAGGCCCCATTGCTGGTGCAGTCACCATACACTACGCAGGTTAGGATGTTTATCTTGTCATTTTCCTCTAAAACAGTTTTTAAGAACACTGAGAGGGCTAAATGTATAACTACCTGTCCTTTTCTTTTCACTGACGACTTATCCGTGTCTGCGCTTTCCACTTCCACGACCGGCACGGAGCTTAAATCTGGGTCATCAGTCAGGTCATGGCTGCTCTTACTTTTGCCACTGAATTTCTGCAAGAAAAAAGATACAGCTGACAATGTTTGCCAGGTAGTATCGCTACGGCCAAAACCCAACATTGCTAGTCTAACATGTGTACATGGTGCATCATAATTAATACATAAAAGGTACACACACATTAAAGTAGAACTTCAGAATGCAATTAAACCTGGATACCATTTTTCAGAATGTGAGGTCGGTCACGCCCATTTTTGGGGGGGAACAACTCATGGTTTTCACCCCCAACTTGTGATTTCATATTGGTTCCCACGGGCTGCCCTGTCTCGTAGGGGTGTTATGAAATGTCTTTCTTCACTGTCTATACACAGCGTGACGGGAAATGACTTGGGTTTATTCGACTCTTTTTTCTGTATATGAGTTCATTTCAGGAATGTGCTGTTGTGATCAGGTCTCAGGCACAGCAGGTGACTGTATACAAGAAAGAAGTACTGGAGGGGGAATAAGTATCGAATCATTTATGTTCTTCTCTGATTTTTAAGTTTGTTGGCAGTGACTATCAACGGTGGTGGATGTGTTTAAAATGTTCAAAGTTCAAAACAAGCAATACATGACACCCTTAGAACATTGGACAGCCCGTGGGAACCAACATGAACCTAGTCAAACAAGATGGTGTGAGAATTGTAAGTTTGTTTTTTTTTCCTTCAGAAATCCATGATGCTAGATGATTTAACAGAACATCTAAGAATCAAATGGATTGATCACCTGGTCAGAATGGAACAAAATCAGCCAGTAGCTACAGCTTACTACATGAGAACAGCAGGCCAGAAGGCAAGAAACAAAGAAAGAGAGAGACTGGTGGAGGAAGTACAAGAGGACATTAAAACAAGCTACTCAACTAGCAAAAGACAGGAAACTACATCTAACTCCTTTCTGCAATGCTTCATGGCATAAACAGTAGGAAAGAAGAAGAAAGAAAGAAAGAAAGAAAGAAAGAAAGAAAGAAAGAAAGAAAGAAAGAAAGAAAGAAAGAAAGAAAGAAAGAAAGAAAGAAAGAAAGAAAGAAAGAAAGAAAGAAAGAAAGAAAGAAAGAAAGAAAGAAAGAAAGAAAGAAAGAAAGAAAGAAAGAAAGAAAGAGAAAAGAAGGAGGAGGAGAAGAAGAAAGCATTAAAATAACTGCCGGCAGATACTTTAAGAGTTGAGAGATACATCGCTACTACACTTTGTTATCTTAATACTCTAGTGAGCTGCTTCTTTGGTTTTGAAATTAAAATTCTAGCATTTACACAACATGGAAATTGGATAGGCAGTCTATATAAATAAATAGGAAAATATAACAAGAGAAAGTAAAAAAAAAAAAAGTAAAGTTCCCTTTTCACGCCTTTCGGCGCATCGGGCATATGGGCAGAGCGTCCCATATTTTTACAGACCATCAGCACTCTGTGGGTAATGTGGTCAGCATTATGCCGGCTGTCTTTACTTTCCCAGGACAGCCCATCCTGGTACCCATAGAGAAACAACATAAAAATCAACTGAGAATTCTCATGAATGACTTAAAGCAAATTATGTTCAAAACTTCCACTAGAAAATATCACCCCCTAATCTGGTTTCTATGAATGATGTCAGAAACAAAATAAAAATTGTGAAATATAAACTACTCACTTTTGATGCTTTAAATGTTTGTTCTTCATCTTCCTCCGCTTCCTCTCCAAAAGACAGCAAACTGAAATTTCTGAGAAAGGGAAGAGGGGGGGGGGGGGGGGGAGAGAATACACATAATATAATAATTGTGGACCCATGGTAGCATAGTGTCTAGATGTTCTCCTCCCGGCCCAAAGGTCTTAAGTTCAAATCCACTGTAGGACAGATTTTCTTCAAACATGACACTGGCCCTCCTGGCTGACCCAGTCTAAAATGGGTACCAGGTAATGTCCTGTGAAATAAAGATGGCTGGCATGATACTAACCATATCACCCGCTAAGTGTCGATTATCTAGTCAAATGTGTGTCTGGATTGATGAAGGGCTGGCGTAAAACAGCTCCTTAACTTCAATAAAATCATAATTGTACACCTTCTCCTTGTCTGTACATAATTGTACACCTTCTCCTTGTCTGTACATAATTGTACACCTTCTCCTTGTCTGTACATAACTGTACACCTTCTCCTTGTCTGTACATAACTGTACACCTTCTCCTTGACTTACAACCATACACACAATCTCTCTCTCTCTCTCTCTCTCTCTCTCTCTCACACACACACGCACTCACACAAAAGTAAATGAAGAAAGATCAGCAACTCGGTAGGGAAAAAAGGTCCCAGAACTGAATTAATTGAGTACATATTATTTTTTTTCCACATTATGTTCAACAATTATATGCACACAGATTGAATTTGTCTTTTTTTATGTACATTTTTTTATAACCCATTTGAATGAAAATGGTACTAAAGAACACAAATTTGACTAACAATCAGTTCAACTGACGCCCTGTAAGTCGGAATGGGACTTGGTCTTAGGTTAAGGAGATACTGTACTAACTTAGTGTACTCGCCTGTCAAGACAGCAGTCAAAGTTCAATCCCCAGCAGGGTGGTGGATTATTTCTTTCAACGAGTATGGCTCAGAGACTGACCCAGCATGATGAAAATGACAACGGATAATTTTCAGTTTAAAAAAATATAATATTTGGGAAATTTAGGCGAGGAAGAAGTTAAGAATCTTTTCTCTTCTGTGTTCGCACCAGATGGTCTGCACATTGTGTTGTGGTTTACAGCTAGGCTGTGATGTCTGTGCCGCTTCCAACAAACTCCTAATTATTCACCTTGTTAGGAAGGTGGGGGCAGTGTGTCTATTCACCCCCCTCCTCTCCCAATGGGTTTCCCTGAAATGATATGGGGAGAAGTTTAGCTGATATATGGCAGTCTGGTGCCAGCCTCTCCCAGGGAATCGCCACAAATAAAACCAGAGATCTACAATACAGCTGATCTGGTTACACTCCACTAGAAGCTTGGACAGGCATAGAAGGCCACAAGTGAAAAAGAAATGGCACAGAAAGCTATTCTATCAAGATAAGATCTTACTTTGTGGCTTTTGACTTGCTCCTGACCTTCTTATCCTCTTCTTTCTCTTTCTTGACCTTCTTAATGACTCTTGGTATGATGTCGTCAAATGGATTTGACAGGATCTGTGGTCAGCATAACCAGCATGTGTATCATCGAAACAAAATCACGACTGACATTTGCTTTGTTTAATAAAAAATGATTTACACCCAAAACAGGTTCATTTTAAATAAAAGAAATTCACTGTGCAAATTACAGAGCTGCGATAAATACAGTTCTGGTGGATTGTTCTTTCTTGAACAGACAAAGGCACACAAATATAGCAGAGTGGTTTTTCTGATTGGTGCTATATCAGTCCTACTAGCAACTGTTCACCCAAAAGACAGTTTAATACCCGAGGCAACAGCTGATTTACTTAAGCTCTTCAGCAAACAATCTGCCCTGCAATGGATTCCGGGTCACAGTGGCTTGCAAGGCAATGAAACAGCGGACAGACTGACCAGAAGCGGCAGTGACATGTGCAACAAAATATGGCATTAACCCACCAAGAGACTAAGACATTAATACAATCTAGTATCCAATAAAGGCGACTGGATAAACACACCACATTTTCTCCTCAAGGACTCGCTTTATCGCCTCTTTAGAGAGGGACAATGTGTTATATTCAGACTAAGCCCATGGCACAACAGACTTCACTAAAATATGTTAAAGTTTTATGGTGTAGGAAACATGGAGATGTGTCCCTCCAACTTGGCACCAGAAAATGCTGAGCATGTGCTCCAACACTTTGAACTGCATGATGCCAATGAAGATGTAATCTGGCCTTCTCTTACATCAATCAAGACAAGGCTGTATGGTAATTAGACTTCAAGACAGCTTCAAAAAAGCCACCAGCCTCTTAATATAGGTTTTCGGCTAGAAGGGTTAAGAAGAAGATGGTACAAGCAATTGCACATCCCGCATACACAGTATGTATAGTAAAAGTAGTGAAGGACCATGTTCGCGTCAGTGGCAGATTGCACATACTATTAAAACTTACATTTATATAGACCAGAGTTATTTTCTACTGGTATGCAACGGACGCAGAATTGTCAATTTTTTTTTCAATTTTCGGCGCCTCAGTAATAGACCCTATGTAGTGTCTTTTAGGCACATTTTGGTAGATACCGGCACCTATAATTCTAGAGAGAAAAAAAAAGCCCCGATACAGACCAGCTGGCAGTGACTATGTCATGTGGTCAACGCCACATTACCTGCCCATGCTGGGCTTAGCTGACCCGTGAGCCAAGGCTGATTATAACAAATATTGCTTGTTACAGGTTCAATTGCATATGTTGCTATTCTTATATTTTATAAAACATTCAGCGTGTATGAGTGATGAAGCCAATACTTTATCATCTTTACAACTCTGGAGCCGTCCTGGTGTAGCAGTTAGACCCTCGCTAGCAGATATGAATGTCGTGGGTTCAAATCTGCACAGCGCCAGATTGTTGTCAAACATGATTTTGGCTCATCGCTCACAGTAAGACCCAGCCTCAAATGGGCACCAGGTAAAGTCCTGGAACATGAAAGCAGCCGGCGTGTAGCTGACCACATCACCCACCTAGAGCCAACTGGTCTTTAAAAATTTGAGTCCAGCCTCATATGCGGCTGCTGTATAAATGGACCTTTACTTTACAACCCCAATTATTCCTGGGACCCATTTAGGGTTTGGTCAACTTGTTGTGGCAGGAACATTTTTTAAATCCTCCTTGATAAGGAAACAAGCTGGTGCTTTATTTTTAATTTACCCCCCAAAAAAAAGGAAATCCCAGAGTTCTAGGGAAAGTCCAATATTCATGGGGTTTTATGTGTTAGGGTTAGAGTTAGGGTTAGTCTGTGTCTCTGAGGATGTTGGGACTGACAAAGATTCTAACCCCAATCCATAACACCCTTAGAATATTTAACTTTCCCGGAAACTTTGGGATTTCCTTTGTCTGGGGTAAATTAAAAACAAAGTACCACAACGTCAACAGAACATAGTGCTACCATGACCACAATTACTAAAATGTCGAATACTTACCTCTGTTCGAATAATCTTGTGCGGATACAGTGGTCTCTCGTTGTCATCAACTTCAACTTCCTGAAGTTTCAGCATATTGTACACGGTATCGCCCCCAACCTTTCCGAAGATTGTGTGCTTGTTTTGAAGCTCTGGTGTTTGGTTCATGGTAAAGAAAAACTGACTCCCATTATCGTGAGGCCCAGCATTCGCCATAGCAACCAGGCCTCGTCTCACAAAGCGCAGCCTAGTATGGAACTCATCCTGTTTGTGACATATAGTTTAAACAACAACATTCAAGCCACTGTATGAATATTTCTTTTAATATTTGTTTCACTGATGTTTCTACCAGGTTTTTTTGGATGAAGGATGAAAATCCAGGCCACTTAAATTAAGGTTTTCGAAAACAAAGTCTCATGACTAATCTTTGGACCAATCAAAGATGCAAACAGCGGGGAATGGAGAGTGAGAAGCAACAGCGAAATTCATAATCTGTTTAAATCACCACTGATAACTGGCATCATGATAAAAGACTGAAATGGTTGGGGCATATTGAAAGAATGTCAGATGACAGAGAAGGAAAAAGAATGCCAACCAGAGAGATGAATGGGAGCGGGTGATATCTGCAGCAATGAACCTCAAGGGCTCAGAATGCTGAAGAAGAAGAAGACTACCATGTTGACTGAGAAGTTCTGATTTTCCTAAACAACACTGTCAGTGTCGATCATGTGTCCTGTAAATATTGCTTTGCACACGGCTCCGTATTTGTTTCAAATGTTCGGCAAACTCATGATCAAAGTCAGTTCCATCAAATTTCATCGTCAGTCATCACAGAAACGCACCTTAACTCTTAAAGGCTGGAGCAACGTTGTGAGTGTTGACTGAGAAGTTCTGATTTTTCTAAACAACACTGTCAGTGTCGATCATGTGTCCTGTACATATTGCTTTGCACACGGCTCCATATTTGTTTCAAATGTTCGGAACTACCATGAAAGTATTCAGGAAAGGTTATTCTAATGTTTTCCTTTGAAAAAAAGTCCATGTTTCAAGACATGTGGGTGTAGATTGATCTGATTCATAATCATCATCATCATCATCATCATCATCAGGTTCCTTGCCGACTGGCGTGAGCAATCATGCCTCTCCACAATCTGCGATCTCCTGCAGCATCTGACTCATAGCTAGCCTTATTTTCAACAGTGCTTTTTCTAAGTTTGTGTTCGAGTGCCGTGAATACCAATGTTCTGACAACAAGTACAGGTCGCAAAATGCCGCCGAAGCTCTGAAATTGTTTCAGTCAGATGTTTTTAATTTTGATAATGATAATAAAAATTTAGATTTTTTGGAAATGATTCGGACAGAATCTAGTAATTCTGATAAGTCTCACACAGACAATGTCCCATTGCTACTGTATTTATGATGTAAGAGAAAAACAGTGCTCCAACACTGACTAAGCTACATTGAAGCTACAGTCTGTATATAAATGTACAAAGTAAAAAGTGTGTGTGTAATGGTCCATTTTTCTGCTTTTGTTCAGCACTCTGAAGTCTCAGTCGCCTTTGTTGGATTAATCTGTGCTCCGGCAATTTCACACCAATTTGATATGCATCGTAATTCATTTTGGAGATAATTTATTATTTTGCTTCTGTTGCTACCCTGACGATATACCAGTATGACATCAGCATATGCTAGAATTTTTCTTATTCCTATCGTTTGATTGCATGTCACATTGATGGTGTAAATATTTAAGAGCACCTGAGATAGTGGTGATCGCTGTGGTGGTACCTGGGTGTACAGTTTTCAGCTGAGAGATCCAGGTGCCACATTTAAAGGCAATCTGTCCTTGGGCCGGTGCTGACGCTATCCAGTTAGAAAGTGTTAAATAGATATTTACATTTATGAGCTGGTGCATGAGATGTTTGAAGGGGACCTTGTTGTATGCATCTTCTAAATCAAATGCTACACACATGTCTCTAATCTTGCAAGGAAACCTTCATACATGTCATAGGCGAAGATGGCAGCATTATTCCATGTGTCCTTATTTTGCCTTTATCCATGAGGCGTTGGTGGGACTTTGAGCATTCTAATTCATGTGATATTTTCTTTGCAATTATTTTTTTCTAAAAGCTTCAGAATGCTCGTGTGTTTGCGTGTATGTACAGACACATAAAGAGCCAGAGAGTGTAGGTGTGTGTGTGTTTTTTTTTTTTGAAACTCTACTTTTAATGTATACACATTTTCTTTCTGGTTTGCAAGTGATTACTTTGACTGTACACAGATACCTCTATAAGTGTTTCAGAAACTTCCAACAAATTAATACACCTGGCATGATATAAGATATGACCTCATGTCAACATATATTGGAGAAATAAAATCAGAAGTTACACGAAAAATATGTCTCCCCCCCCCCCCCCAAATTATGTCTAAATTACTAGACACATCCCTATGTGAGTTTTGGGCCCATCATGGCCCTGCCCCCTCCCAAACAAGCATGTCATAGAAGGCGATTAATCTGGGGATTTGTTGAACTCAGAAGTGTTCTGCAGAAAGGCTTCAGCTTTGCTGTTAACCCTTATACAACACGGCAACCACCTTTCTTTACAAGGCAACATTGAAGAAGAAGATATTGGACACTGACAGAAAGAGAACTAACAGCTCGACTGCCCTGGCTAATAATAAACACAAATATAACAAAGTACTTTGAAAGGTGCACCATAGATGGACTCTCCACCAGTTCCAGTGCCTGTAGGATCTCCTCCCTGGACGATGAAGTCTTTGACCACTCTGTGAAATGTTGTGCCATTGTAGTACTCCTCCATGCACAGCTGCACAAAGTTGCGACATGCTTTTGGTGCTTCCTTGGACCATAACTCTATGTCAATATCACCAACTGAAGTCACCAAGAGAACCTAATAAACAAACAATGTTTACATATAAGGCTCAAAATTTGAAAATAATCTGACAACAGTGCGAACTTACAGTAACATTTACAGAAAAATTTTATTATAGATTTCGGCTATTCTCCGAATAACCGTCCCAAATTATCGAGGCTAAGAAAATACACTAACAGGGGCTCAGTCATATGTAAATTGTGGACATCTTTCCGGGGACTATACCATGGAAAAGCTTCTGCAGAGTCAAAGTCACCACCGAGAGTCTCCCCCACGCCTCGCAAGACTCTCGTAGATCACGCACTGCGACTCAAATTAGTGACCGCGTTCTTCCGACGCAAGACTTAGTGACCGTAGATGTGAGATCTGCGGATCTTTATGTCGTAATGAGCGATAAGCTTGCATAGTTTCCGTGATGTGTTACCTTACCCCTACCCCAAACCCTAACCCTAGGATGACAGTTAACTATCTCATTTGTTTCGTTCCCTCTTTTCCACTCCGTACTTGCACTGCAGCCAGGGGACTGAACTCCGACTAAGCGGCCGTCGCCTTCCAGCTAGCGACCGTTTTTTAAAGGAGAACCTTATACTGTTATGTAGATGGACATTCAAGTTCGTACTGTAATAATCTGGACAATGGTGTCTGTCTTATCCGATGTCTGCTCCAGAAGAGACCAGTCTGACCAGACATGTACATTCAGTACGTACATCATAACAGAACAGAACAGACGATTTTCATGCAGAAAATGAGAGACATCTCCAGAAGATAAGAGAGACTAAATGTTGCCAGACAGAAGAAAAAGGATTAGGCATCACCAGAGGACAAAAGGCATCTTCAGAAAAGTAGAGATAAGACATTTCCAGAAGTGGGGAGACCAGGCATTTCCAGAAGTGGGGAGACCAGGCATTTCCAGAAGTGGGGAGACCAGGCATTTCCAGAAGTGGGGAGACCAGGCATTTCCAGAAGTGGGGAGACCAGGCATTTCCAGAAGTGGGGAGACCAGGCATTTCCAGAAAAGAAGGCATAGAGTTAGACTTCATAGACATCTCCAGAAGTGAAGATAAATAAAAAATATCCAAAAAATAAATAAATAAAGAAGACATTGGCTCTACTGGCAAATTTGGCCGGTAAGCTGGACTGCTTCGGCCGGCTTAGTGGGGCTTAGTGGGAGTTATGTCCCTTCGCCAAACTCAAAACAAGTCGCGGAAAAAGTCACGAATCAAATGACATACTTACCTATCATCATCCGGGTGCGTGTAGGGCTGCGTAGAGTTGCGTCTAGGGTTACCTATCATCATACGGTTGCGCGTAGGGCTGCGTAGGGTGTCTATCATCATCATCATACGGATGCGTGTAGGGATGCATAGGGTGTCTATCATCATCATCATACGGTTGCGTGTAGGTTTGCGTAGGGTTTGGGTTAGCGGTAGGGTTAGGGGTGTGGGTTAGGGTTAGGGTTAGGGGTAGGGTTAGGGGGTAGGGTTAGGGGGTAGGGTTAGGGGTAGGGTTAGGGTTAGATGATGTGAAAATATTCACGTAGGAGGTGGAAATACTGGCCGACAATCTGATGCTTGTGGGAGTGGCGCCACTGGAAGTGTGCCAAATATGACGGCAATAGCGCGCGGCGGCTGGTGCCCCAATCGGTGGCGGTGAATTGTCCATGTCAGTAGCATCCACCGTCCGTCGACTGTTTGCGCGTGCATGCGACTGTGCGCGATTGTAGGGAACTACGGCGTCACAATTGTCACATCTAACGCTACACCTAACCCTAAACCTACACCCTAAACGCTAACCCCTAACCCTACCCCTCATCTATCTTACGCAAACAACCAACCCTACACGCCATAAGCAGCCCTACACGCAACCGTAGGACGATGATAGACACCCTACGCAACCCTACACGCACCCGGATGATGATAGGTAAGTATGCCGTTTGATTCGTGACTTTTTCCGCGACTTGTTTTGAGTTGTTGTGAGTTTGGCCAAGGGACATAACTCCCACTAAGCCCCGCTAAGCCGGCCGAAGCAGTCCAGCTTACCGGCCAAATTTGCCAGTAGAGCCAAGACATTTTAAATTATATATTTTAAAAAGTAAACCATTATAAACCATACGTAGTGTTTTTATAGTAACATTTATTTTACCTTGCCCTTTGTTGGTGGCTCGAGAATATAAATATTGCTCATTATTTCCTAGAATGTCTCCCAAATCCCTAGAAACAGAACGAAGGTGGTCGTTTGGAAGAAACACGTCTAGAACACAAAAACACGATCTGCTGTTTATCCGAAGACACAAAATTCTTAAAATCTTTCAGTACTTGTCGAGAAACAATAACTTCATTCTGTGAAAGTTGCAAGAAGTTCTTCAATTAATTGTCTAGCATATATTTATTGTTTAAAAAAATAATGTAATTAGTTTGTTGTATATAATATTTCAAAAAGTTTTTATCATGCATAACTGTCTAAAGATGGTTATTTGTTTTGTACATTAATGTGATGACTCATTTTTTAAGAGGACGGGAAATTTTTAACTGCAAGTCGAGGGAAATTGAGTTGTTTCTTCGCAGCTTCTCGACTTAGTAAACGATTATTTTAGCATAAAATGGGTCAATTTTAGCTTTATTTCCTACAAAACTGTTTAGCTTGGTCTTTAAAAATGGAATTTCAAGGTAAGCATGCACGAATCTTCCATCATATATCCCTGCGTCTCTTAACCTTAAAGTAAATTAAGTAAATGAAACTCGTTGATGTTCCTCACAATGACAATAAGCCACAATACAATAGTTATTAATATTATGGTTTAGTTAGTTCCTGTGATTTTTTAATTTTTCCTTTTTTTTTTTAAAATCTGTATGCTATCAGCTATGTGAGTATAATCAGAAACATCTCAGCGACCTATCATGAATGAAGGAATCAAGAACTGTCATAGCATAGCTGCACTCGGAACGTTCCCACAAGTGCTCAGTCCTCTTCTTCAGTAACCACGGTAATAAAGAGTCGACATGTATGAAATGTGGTAGTGGCAGTGGTACATAGTACTAACTGTTGCAGCCTTATTAAATTAAATGTCCCTCTACGTGGTTCCCCTTCGGTGTTGAATATCTCCCAGAACCTCTACAACAAGAACAACTACTCACCCCCATTGAATTAGCCTTTCAGTTTCAGTGTATGGATTCCCTAAATGTTCTTCTGCACCGTCCATTTGATGCCATCAAGCCTTCACCACACCTCCTTTCACTTTCTGTCTTAAAATTGGGAATGTGAATATAATAATAAAATTATAAAGCATACAAACAGGGGCGTTATATGAAGATATAAACTAGACAGAATAGAGCAAGAAAAATAAGAACAAGATTAAAATGGAATTAATTGCAATTAAACAATGCATGGTACAATAATTTTATGGGACCCCCCAACAGTCACACAGAAAAGCCATCTATCTCCAGTCCAGTACACTGTTCTGGGGGTGTTTGGCTGCTGTCAGTGTTTATGACGTCATCATTCTCTGTGTATTTTGTTGGTGTGGTCACTCTTAGTATGTGAGGTATGTAGTTTTTTTTATTTGACATACTTGGAAGCTAGAGCTTGCTCACTTTTACTTTGTGACTTCTCCATAAATTTTCTTGACCTATCAGCATTGGTGCATGACAAGCAAAGCAGCATTGCTTTTCTGCAGCAGCATGGCATCTTGCATTCATCCAGACTCTGCTCCAAGAATCATCACATGGTGCAGTCACTTACTGGCAGTCATGATCATTGGAGATGCCGGCATTCCAACTGTCATCATCGCATGGTGCAGTCACTTACTGGCAGTCATGATCATTGGAGATGCCGGCATTCCAACTGTCAAGAGGAGATAGGGGTTAGGCAAGGCACGTGCCTGCAAGGCTTTCATCTGCCTTACAGACAGAGCATTCTTTTTATGCACTGCTCAAGAGTTGATGAGCATTTCATTTTGCCAGTTGGGCAGCTTATAGGTAACCAAGCAGTATACATACATGTAGTCAACCTTCAGTGTCATTTTCCCAAGATGACCCTTTTCAGCCCATCCCCAGTTCTCATTCCCCTGGACGATTGCACAAATAGTTTGTTAACACAAGCACACAGAAAATTTTAACACACAGTTGTTACCATAAAGACAGTGGTGCATAAGATATTTCCAACTTTTATACCCGATGCACACAGCACGCACACTTTTCCACACATTGTGTGAACCTCCAAACAAAGTCATGTCATAACATCCCTAGAATAGTTAACTGGACTGGGGATTCCGGGATTTCCTTTGTTTGGGGCCACATAAAATTATTGTAGAATTGGGTTAATATAGCAACTTACTGTGATATAATAGAGCAAGAGCAGTGAACTAATGCTGGTGCCACCAAGAGATGCAGAAAAGTTTTTTGGTACCAAATGAGTTTTCTTAACATTATAGGATAGACACATTTTAAATACCTGTTTTACCCTATGCGGGAAGGAGAGGGGGGGTGAAGTCCCAATGCCTCCCTAACAATCATGTCATAACGGTCGACTAATTAGGGGCTTCCTTCGAACTCAGAGTGCATCTGCCGGAGAGGGAAGGAACCAACATTCTGCATACAAATAAGTCAGATTTGTAAACTGGATGTGCATGCAAAACTCAGGTACTCGAACAAGACTAAAGTCGAGAGGTGGACAAACAACCAGAACTTTCTACCATAGTTTACAACTGGTGAACGTGAAGTGAAGAAATTTATGTTGTATAATACAGTTTAGTTTAAATTCTGGTAAAATATTCTAATGTTTCAGGTTACATAACGAAATTTGGAAAATCAAATGATAATCTTCGTACGTCTTGTAAAAAATGCGGATATGGTAAGTGTTTTTCATTTCATATTTTGAGGACTGTAATAGCTACATCCCCTATCTACTTTAGAGTACATTTAAATAAAGGACAAACAGACACTGAAGCAGATAAGATTTTAAGAATATGACAACAAATAATGGAATGGATGTTATTCTGGGAGACGGAGAGGTTAAAGAGCATTATAAAGGTGGAGGGATGCAAATGTTTAGGATTGAGGCAGCTGGAGGGATGAAAAGTTTTAGGATAGAGACGGTGCATTTGAAGACAGAAAGGCATTTCTCTAAGATAACTAGCTAGTCTGTCCATTGAGCATAATATGATTACCTTGACTGAAGTATTTAATTCGCTTTAGCTGATTTGATTTGATAAAAGAACTTACATCACAGCACTCAGGGCATTCCCATAAGCGCTCCGCCTCTGTCTTCAGCAGGCAGCAAAGAGTTTTGATACTAATAGTGCCAGTAGCATTCTGATTAAACGTCCGTCTTGCCTTTCCTCTGAGCCTCTAGCATCTTCCAAAAACTCTTGTCACTCCCTCCTGCATCAATCTAGCCAGACTGTGGTGATCCATCTGCTCCTCTAAACTGTACATGCTCTCCCACAAGGCACTAACCATGTCTGCCTTATCATGCATCAGTGTTCCACCAAGTTGTGCAGAGCCAGCCAGTCTGTCCGCCTGTTCATTTCTCAACACACCGGCAAATCCTGGTGAAAAAACCAGACAATACTCTTCACCCGTGTCCTCCGCAGCGAGGCATGCCACTCTGCACGAAACCTGCCTGTCCTGATCTTCCTCAGCATGCTTTCTGAGTCAGTTAGAATCATGATGTGTGTGTGTCGTGTTCTCTAACCAGCGGAAACCTGCAGTGACGCCTCCACCTCCATTCTTAAGCTGGATGTTGTGGTATCATATGCTAGGCTCTCCTGCACCAAACATTGACCATTAACTTTTGCTAAGAAACCCCAAACACTTCTTTTGACACTGAACCATCTATGTAAATCTTCTTCTTCTTCTTCGCGTTCACCAGCTGTAAACTCTGGCGGAAGGTTCTGGTTGCTCGTCCACTACTGAATTGCAGTCCGGCTCCAGAATCTGAGTGTTACGTGTGCATAAGTTTTACAGATCTCATTCTCTTGAATACAGACTGTTGGTTCCTTGCCTCTCCGGCAGATGCACTCCGACTTCAAAGGAAGCTCCCCAATTAGTCAACTCTTACGACATGCTTTTGGGGAGGCAGTGGGTCTATTCTTGTTTTCACGACAATGGGGCCCCGGAACCCACACGGGGGATCTGTGTAAATGATTTAGCTGTTGAAGTGGGAAGAAAACTGGTTTGAGCATCCTTAAGGATGTTTTTTTTTCTCTTCTTCTGCCATATATCCACCAGTGAACCTTAGATATTGAGCCAACTAAAGCAAAGTCAACCCATCCTTTGCTGTCATATGCAGCTTACCCCATCTCTTCTACATATCTTGTATTTTCGTTTAACTCTCTACATACCTTTTCTATGCTTTTTTTTGGGGGGTCTCATGTAGGTATTCCTGTGTTCCGTGACAAACATTTTGTTTATATTCTTATTGCATTTTCTCCATATATGTCCTGTCCACTGTCAGCATCTTTTAATTTACTGCAATCTGGAGATGTGAACCAGCTTCATTGCACACGGTATAAACCATAAGTGCTCTGCCACCAGTACGGACAGCTCGTGAGAAATTGTCTGCCTGTGTCACCATCCGCATGCAACTCTGTAGCTACAGCATCGTTCTTCCATTTAGAGGCATTTTCCGCCCAGTTTTGAACACCGGCCCTGGGCTGCAGTGAGTTGCAGCTGGATTTGAAACCAAGTCTCCTATCGACTGCACTAACACAGCCTCCTAACCAGCAGTCTGCATACAGATATTCCAGATCTGTTAGATGCGCTTGCAAAACTTGCTTGTTCTGGAACAGGACCAATTTCCAGAAGTGGGCAAACAACCAGAACCTTCCCCTGAAGTTTACAGCCAGGTGGACACCAAGAAGGAAGAAGTGGTCTAATGCCGTAGCCATCAGGCAAATTTTGGTCTTCGATTCTACTATCACATCTTATGTACATTAAAAAATGTTAATTACAGCTGGACACCTGACATACCAGTGCCGTAACTTTCTGAAAGCAGACCCCACAAAGGAAGTGGTTTTAGATGTTAGCAGCACCAGCTCTGACACTGATGACGAAGAACCGTTTGTGTCACCGCTGACAAAACTAAGTCAGGGTAGGTAATTGGCTGTAGGTTTGTCTTAAACTGGTTACGTGTTTGAATGATGACTTTTGTAATAGTTATTGTTAGTTGTTTGTCCACCAAAAGGA